GGATATCCCTCCAGCTGCTCAGAGCCAAATACAGGGATTGTGCTGACAGCGTACTCCACCATCAATGCCCCACCACCAGCTTTGGTTAACATCTCACCACGAGGTCCTTGGAGATTTCTTTGGCCAGTGGTGACTCAATCACCTCTTTAAGCTCCTCCACAGTCTTGTCAACTTTCTCAGCTAATTTGCCAAGGGATTCGTCGTCTAGGCCAAGTTCTGACGTATCCGAAAGAGACTTAACCAGGATAGCTATATCGCAAGCTACAGAGAGGCCTGGGATGGGCACAGCTGCTATTCCGCATGAGACGGCAGCCAGCTTCCAGATTTGCTTCTGCAAGGCCTCTTTCTTCTTCTGCAAGATGGACAAAGAGATGTTTGGCAGGGCCATGAGGAAGGCATGTCTCTTGTGGCTCGGCAGCTCCTTCTCCAGAGTCTCCTCGAGCTGTATGAAGTCGTACTTGTTTAGCTCCCAGCTGGAAAGGAGGAAGACCTGGGGAGCAGCCACTCCTTCGGCCTGAAGGCACTCTTTGCAATTCTCTCGAATCTTCCTCAGTATCGCCTCCTCGTCGTAGGCTTTTGGCCGGCGCTTTTTGGTGGCCTCTAGATCTGCGTCTACCTTCGAGCGCACAAAGTAGAAGCATTTGCCCATCCGCTGGATTTCCTGCGCCAACTGGGCATGGTTGGACTTGAAGCGCTCTGAGGCAATGAGAATAAAGAAGTCATAGCGGGAGAAGTTGACCTGTTCCAGGTAAGTGCTGGACTGGAAATCTGGAGTGCCGATTCCGGGAAGATCCCACACAGTCACGTTGGGGTGCTTGGGGTGAATAAGGAGTGGGCTTTTGTGGTCTCCACAACCCCAGTGTCGGCAGATCCTTCGTCTTCATCCCCTAGGCCTCGAATGGCGTTGACAAACGAGGACTTGCCGGACCAGACTCTCCCGTTACTGCAATGTCCAGCCGGGCATTCTCCAAAGCCTGCAGGTTTTCCAATATTTTGGACGCTGCTTCTGCCATTCTTCCTCCTTCAAGTGCATCCCTAATCTCTTCGATTTTCTTCGTGATCTATACATATTCTTCTGCATAGGCAGCGGCTTGCTTTTGGGAATCCGGCGGCGGCTGAACTGCCATAGGATCGTATCAGGCCTGCAGGAAGGGGGAGAGAATGCATAAGGAGACATTGAACAAGTCACTTATTGTGGGACAATGTGTTCCGCATCTGAGACATCAGCTGAGGAGATGCATGAAACAGGGCACCTTTTTTTCATTTAGAGAGCCATGCAGCCAGCTCAGCTCAGCTCTGGCTGGATATTTGGAGAAAGAGAAAAGGGGCCAGCGTTCTCTTGAATAATGTTTATGTTATAAATAGGGCCTTATTCCATCCAAAATTTGTCATGTGAGAGGTTATCAGGTTGGGGAAAATAGGGCTGCCTGGCTCGACCTCTGAAGCAAGAACCAATAGCCTGCTTCCTTTTTGTTTAGTCCACAGGTGGGAACCAAAGGTCCTTGCCAAATGTGGCCCTCGGCCTCAGGCCCTCAACTCTCCTCAGGCCACACCCCTCAGCTGCCCTACATCTCCATGTTTTTGCTGGGTTTTGCCATTGAACTCTGATAATGCCTTCTGCTTGACTGTAAGGAATGGGGCCCTCAAGCCGACTTTTGACTTCCATTTTTCCAGGGCGAAAGAGAAGCATCACATAAAGTGTTGGTGTGTAGCCAATTTAACACTATTGCACTAGTGATTAACGCCATATAAATGACTTAGGCCCCAAATGGCAGCCCCTAAATTGTGGAAATCCCCTCCCTACAAGTGTGAACCTAACACCTTCATTGTATCATTCCCATTCCACAGTGTTTGCATCCTGAAGCAACACCTCCAGGTGTTTTAAACCGTTTCAAGCATTGCATTTTAAATTGTTGCAATCCCCCCGGGACTTTATTGCAAATGGTCAGGTGAGAATCAAATGAAGAAGAAGAAGAAGAAGAAGAAGAAGAAAGAAGAGGAAGAAGAAGAAGAAGAAGAAGAATGAGCAAGAACTTTAAGTTTCCATAAGAAGAAGAAGAATGAAGAATGAGCAGAACTTTAAGTTTCCATAGGAAAATGCAATGATTAAAAATGAAACATTTTCCCCAGAGAAAGACAGCAAGGTATTAATAACAAAATACTGTTTATATTCAAAGAACGCTCTTTGATCCTTAATCTTGTAACCCCCGTGTGCTAGTTATCAGTGAAACTTGCCTGAAGGGAAACACACCTTTTGGGCCTGCTCTCGCCAACCTCTGCTTCACCTCGTCTCTTGGCAGCCATCTTGGACTAGGTCTCAGGCCAGCAGGTGTTTGCTCAACAAAGCGTCAGTTTGCACCTTTATAGCCTTAGTTAAGGAGAGTCCTCTCTCTCCCTACTTCAGGCCTGACTTTCTCCACCTGAAAGTGCCACGGTACGTATTTGGCTGACAGCGAACCAACAATTCACCCTATCCAATTTGGTTCCGGCTAGCTCCTTTTCATCCTTGCACCGTCGTCCGAAAATGGCCATTCCTCTCTTCAAAGCATCTCGGTTCCTCCTCCTCTCCTCCTTTGGTTTTAAATGTGTATCCTCAAAATGCAGGCACCCGCTCACAGCCCAGCCTCTCAGCTTCATTCCCACACAGCTCTATATATGGCCTAACCACTTCCTTTTGCTACCTAGCCATGGATTTCCTCCCCATTCTATGTTGCAACGATACCTCCCTGCTAAATGTTTTCAGAACAACTTAAGGGCCTAATTCACACAAGGAGCTCTGGAGACAAGCAAATACTCAAGAGAAATGTTTCTCGAACTCCAAGGAAGCTGTATGTTGGAAGGTTTAGGGCAGAGAAAAGGGAGCACTGATTCAGGCAGTGCAGTTAAAACTATGGGCATCTGGTTGACCACGGTAAATACAAGATGCTGGACCAGAGGTGAAAAAAGCTCTTTTTGTTGAAATCCCCTCTTCTGCACAGCTGCCTTTTTCCAACTTGAGACCATTGGCCTATTTGGATTAATCCAGTGATGGCCAAACTCTGCCCTCCAGCTGTTTTGGGACTACAGCTCCCATCATCCCTAGCTAACAGGACCAGTGGTCAGGGATGATGGGAATTGTAGTCCCAAAACAGCTGGAGGGCCAAGTTTGGCCATTACAGGATTAATACTAATATTGTCTACAATGAACCGTCAGTGGCTCGCGAAGATTCGCTTCTTGTGATAAGGGAAAAGTACAACAGAAAGTTGTTTGCATAACTCTGCAAACAAATCAGAATGAATGTCACAGTCAGTTTGCCTTAACACACACAGCACGTTGACCTTTAAGACACCCACATATAAGTGAGAGCATTTCACTTCCTCTGCCCTGTGAGACACTGCTAATTTCACAAAAGAGGGAAACCCTTTGCATTGCATTTCAGTTTTTGTTTGCTTTTAGAAAGAAAGGAAGAAAGAAAAAAAACCTTTGGGGAAAATTATAGAACATTATAATCACTTACAAAATACACAGCACTGATGCCGAAGCATAGTAATAGAATCTGGGGCAGACTTTGGTAATCTTTCATAATTATGGTGTTCTGTCCAAGGCCAAAATTTGTTTGTGCAAGGTCTCAAAATCCCCCCCCATTGATTTTCTCCATTATGGATTTTCTTTTTGTGTGTGTGTTATAATTTCTATTAGTTTTCAATTAAGGTAAAGGGACTCCTGACCATTAGGTCCAGTCGTGGCCGACTCTGGGGTTGCGGCGCTCATCTCATCTGCGTTTGTCCGCAGACAGCTTCCAGGTCATGTGGCCAGCATGACTAAGCCGCTTCTGGCGAACCAGAGCAGCACACGGAAACACCGTTTACCTATTTATCTACTTGCACTTTGATGTGCTTTCGAACTGCTAGGTTGGCAGGCGCAGGACCGAGCAACGGGAGCTCACCCCATCGCGGGGATTCGAACCGCCGACCTTCTGATCGGCAAGCCCTAGGCTCTGTGGTTTAACCCACAGCGCCACCCGCGTCCCAAGTTTTCAATTACAATAACTCAATAAAAGCCTCATTGCCCATACCAAAATATAATACCAAATTATAATACGATTAATAATGTCGATTGTTCAGATGCCAAATTGTATTATTTTGTTGCCCTCCGTGCTAGAATTGATGATTTACTTTAACTCTGCACTTTAAAAACTTATAAATTCCAATGCACGCTAGTCAGAATAACAAACCCTTATACAGTACCGCAGCTGCAATTTTAACGACTTCCATTCACATTAACACATCAAATAATTTACAGTCCTACACCAATTATGGATCTTCTCAATTTTGGTCCTCCTTGGCTAGGTGTTCTGCGCTGATAGAGTAAGAAGTTGGTGCTGTTGCTATTAACGTTACCATTATTAAAAGCCCTGCTGTATCGGGCCAAAGTCCAACGCACTCTGCCATCCTGCATTCCAGTGTGGCTAAGCAGACGCTTCCCAGACGCACAGCAGGAAGGCGGGAGCTATTTACTTCCTAGTCAATACCTGGCGGCATATACTGCACCTGACGCTGGAGGTTCCCTATGACTAATAGCAACGCATCTGTTGTCCTGCGCTCTTGTTTTTGAGCGCCGTATCCTGAGCCACTTCCTGCTTCTTAAGTACCTCCAAGGCAGCAACAGTTTCCAAATATTTTAAGCCAAGGCAGCAACACTTTCCAAATATTTTAAGCCAAGGGCCACCTACTGAAATTACATTGGCCCCCGCTCCGAAAAAGCACAAATAGAAATGGAAAAGTCCACTAAGGTGTCAGAGCCGGATCTTCGCTTCCCCCAGGATACAGATGGATGGGAGGCTGGCTTTCCGAGTCAAGTGTTTGCGCCGCCGGTCCACATTTTCCTTCCACCCCGTCCTTTTGCAGGCGGGCCTCAGGCTGTCCTCCCGCGACCTCAGTGGCAGGTTCCCAGCGATCCACCGGTCGGGAGGCGGGGTGGGCGAAGGGATCTCTTGATCTTAAGCCGCTTTGGGGGGAAACCTCCCTTTCCCTGCAATCTGAATTGCTCGCCATCTGAACTCAGCTCTGGCTAAACTTTGGCCAGCCGCCCCCAGCTCCTCTCCAATCCCCATCCACCCCGCCAGCCCCCCCACCCCGCATACCTTTCAAGGCAAATCCGTGGCGATCCAGACGTTCAGCAGAGTGACCTAGGAAAGAATGTGGAGCAGATCGTTTGGAGTGGGGGGCGCTGAGGGGGTTTCCCGAGGGGCGGCCGTTTTGTTTTGCGCGCGCGGCGGCTCCAGAAGCGCCCTGATTTCCCGGTGCATCTACGATCGACTTTCGGTTTCCAAGCTGCTTATTGTTCCTTGCTGCCTCCTGGTGGAAGGAATGAGTTCGGACCGCAACAGAATCGCTATTATTTTTAAGCGGGGGGGAGGGGGATAGGGGTGAAATTACCATAAAATTTGCTGTGCGGTGCACATCCAAAAGTGCGTGCGAAGTGTGCGGCGGGGGAGAAAATATATTTGTTTATAAAGTCAGTAATCGAAGCAGGTAAAATGCTTTTATTATTATTTTTATTATTTTGCAAGGGAGAGAAATGGCACGATCGCGTCAGTCGGGGAGAACACTTTTTTTCTTTATTTCTCCTGAACCGAGTAAAGGGGAAAACCGACTTTAGGACCTGTTCGTTGCGCGCTGTTAGAGGCAGCGCCGTGCGCCAAGGTGGAGTCACGTGTATTGCAGGAACCCGAAACTGAGAAGTTAACAAAGTAGGATTGCTCTCATTGTAGGAGAAGACGGAGAAACGGCGGCGTGCGATATGTACCGTAAGTCACTGAGGAGGCAGGTGTAATTTTTCATAGGGGATTTTTATTTCTTCCCGAGATCGCATTCCACACGGAAGTGCAGGTGACTCTCTGCTGCTCATCCGGATTGCAGTCGTCAGGTTTGTAATGTTAAGGACGCAGTGGTTCATTTGGCAAGAACCAGAGGAGGATTTACATGTGCAAGATAGAAACCGAAATCTGCAACTGGAGCGTTCTCTTCCGGGAAACAGTTTGGCTTATTGTAATAATAACAATTTTTTATTTATTTATACCTCGCTCATCTGGCTGGGTTTCCCCAGCCACTCTGGGAGGCCTGCGGAAAGCCATCTAATCCAGATTTTAATTTTATCCTGAGTTGTTTTTAAGAGGTGGTTTAATTATTGTTTGATTTTATATCAATGTTTATATTTGATGTTAGCCACCCTGCACCTGGTCTTGGCTGGAGAGGGCAGGATACAAATAAAAGTTTTTTATTATTATTATTATTATTATTATTATTATTATTATTATTACAGCACATAAAAAATGCAACGCATTAGACATTAAAAACTTCCCTAAACAGGGCTACCTTCTGATAGTTGTTTGTTTCCTTGGCATCTGAAGGGAGAGTGTTCCACAGGGTGGGTGCCACCACCAAGAAGGCCTTCTGCCTGGTTCCCTGTAACCTCACTTCTCGCAGTGAGGGAACCGCCAGAAGGCCCTCGGAGCTGGACCTCAGTGTCTGGGCTGAACGATGGGGGTGGAGACGCTCCTTGAGGTATTCTGGGCCGAGGCTGTTTAGGGCTTTAAACGTCAGCACCAACACTTTGAATCGTGCTTGGAAACGTACTGGGAGCCAATGTGGGTGTTTCAAGACCTTATATGGTCTTATATGGTTATATGATCTCGGTGGCCACTCCCAGACACCCATCTAGCTGCCGCATTCTGTCGCATAGCTAGCCTTCTCCTCCATTAATTTGCCTGATCCGCTTTTAAAGCCATCTAAGTTGGTGAGCATCGCTTCCTTCCCGTGGGAGGGAGTTCTGTAGCTTAACTAGGTTCTGCATGAAGAAGTACTTGTTTTATCTGCTCTGAGGATTTCCTAATAAGAATTAAGTATCCACGCCCACTCTTGTGCATGGCAGGATCTAGATTGAATCTGGACTGAAAGCATTTTGGAGATGAACATGAATGGATTGAGAAAAACTAATTTTTTGTGGCACTAGCGGGTGAGTGTGTGCACAACCTGAGGCTGCAATCCTACCCTCACTGTCTTGTGTAAGAAAGTATCAGGAATGTCACACCTAAGGCAATGGGACATACATGCCTGCATGCCTCCCCTTTCTAGGACCATTGCAAAATCTGTTGAGTTTTGCACAGGAGGATAAAAGGGGGAGCGCACAGCAAAGTTTTCAGTTAGTTGATGCAAGCATGCATATTTTCTCTCTCACACACAGAGGTGGGAAAGCCTCTTTTAAGATGATGGGTGGCACCAGCTGTATTCTTAAATTTAAAAACTATAGATTTAGATTGGCTGACCAATTAATTGTGAAGGCACCTTTCAAGCACAGTGGAACCTTGGTTCTCAAACTTAATCTGTACCGGAAGTCCATTCGACTCCCAAAACAGTTTGAAAACCAAGGCATGGCTTCTGATTGGCTGCAGGAGTTTCCTGCACTCAAGTGGAAGGTGTGTCGGACATTCGGTGTTCAAAAACCGGAACACTTACTTCTGAGTTTTCAGTGTTCGGGAGCCAGTTTGTTTGTCAACTATGCTGTTGGAAAACCAAGGGTCCACTGTATATCGATGGATGGCTTGATGGATTAACCTAGGGGATCAGTTGACAAAGGCTGCAGTCTTAGACACCAGAGGTGGGGAACCTGTGGTTCTCCAGATACTGAACCTCTAACCTGATTTGGTGGTGCTGTGGTCTAAACCACTGAGCCTAGGGCTTGCTGATCGGAAGGTTGGCGGTTCAAATCCCCGCAATGGGGTGAGCTCCTGTTGCTTGGTCCCAGCTCCTGCCAACCTAGCAGTTCGAAGCACATCAACGTGCAAGTAGATAAATAGGTTCTGCTCTGGTGAGAAGGTAAATGGCGTTTCCGTGCGCTGCTTTGGTTTCGTCAGAAGCGGCTTAGTCATGCTGGCACATGACCCGGAAAAACTGTCTGCGGACAAATGTCAGCTCCCTCGGCCAGTAAAGCGAGATGAGCTCCGCAACCCCAGAGTCGTCTGCGACTGGACTTAACTGTCAGGTGTCCTTTACCTTTTTTTTAAAGACATCTGAAGGCAGCCCTATTTAGGGAAGCTTTTAATGTTTAATAGATTATTGTATTTTAATATTCTGTTGGAAGCTGTCCGGAGTGGCTGGGGGAACAAATTTTTATTTTTATTTTATTTTATTTTAAATTGTGGAAACAAAAACTGCCAATTAATTCCACCTCCCAGCACTAATGATATTTCTCTTCTTTTTAAAGGAAACATGGCGTCTGTCCTCAGCACTGTCTTGCAATGGGCTCTCAGCATCGTCATCCCATGTTTTACAGCTCAGCTCTGGAGATTCATGAACAAACTGCTGACTGTCGTGGTGGCGCTCGCTGTTCTCCTCTCCACGATGTGGATAGCCATGAACAAAGCGGATTATTCCCCCATGGGCACGGACCACGAGGTTGCTGTGACAGCTAAGCAGTTGTGGAAGCCCACCAGTGTCCTCAATATCATGAAGGATGCCCTGTTGTACATGGCTAACCTGCTGCCCTCTTACGAACCACTGACAGCTGAGAATCTCCTAAGGCACCGTGATCGGCTGGATGGCATCAACTACATACTCCAAGCCTGTTTCAACAAGGCCATTGATACCTTTCTCCAGGAGCCCTGGTCTGTGCAGCAAAATGCCCAGCTGGTTATCCAGTGCGGCGGACCCCCCATAGAGTTTCGGTCTGGCAAGGGGGACTGCCAGATTTCTGTATATGTCCTATACAAGCGGATCCAGTGTGATATCAAAGAGCGGACGGCTGAAATGTACCTTGCGAGGTTGGCCATTCGCAAGGAGCCGCTGAGCGTCGGAGACCTGCTGAGAGTGAGGCAGAGCTTGCGCTCCTGGGGGGTTCTTCCCGAGGAACTAGGGCACTGCTTGGAGTTTGCAGTGGAAGAGTTTGCCAAGGAGCCGTTCTGCGTCCAGGACAATGCCCACATGGTTGTAGACTGCGGCGGGCAGGTGCTGAACTTTGCCTCTGGCGAAGGGGAGAATAAGATCAATATCTACGATGTACGGGGAGGCCTCATTCACTACCGGATCAGGATCTCTGGTTCCTGGACCAGCATCGTGCGGTTCTTTCATGGGAACAAAAATCACGCGCAAACACATGCGAGGAAGCCTCTGCAGTTAGAGTGAGGTGAGAGCTACGAAAGGAGCTCGCCTCTTCTCGCCTCTAAAAAGACTGGTTCACAGTTTCCCCCAAACATGAGAGAGGCAGAACATGTGCACATTTTTGCAAACACTCCCCCCCCCATTAAATGTGTTTTGTATGTTGTTTTCACAAACTTGTGGATTTTTATGCATGCTCAGCCATACCTTTATGCATATTTGAACATGATTTGAGTTGGGGAAACTGCATTGATAAAATTCTGATAAGCACTGATTTTGAAGAGTAGCTTCCTTTTGATCCATGGGCTGATAGGAAACTTTTCCAACCCAAGAGCCACATTTTCTCACAGGGAACCTTTCTGGTTGGGGCCACACCCCTCCGGAGATGGGTGATGCAAACAGATTAGGAAGACTAGGCAGCAATTGAACCCCAAATGCTTTTGTTCATTTGTTTATTATTTACAACATGTATACAATACTCTAGCCAAAAAGGCGCCCAGAGCAACTGATATGATCAGGCTTTCACAACACACAAGGAAAAGGGGCGGGGATGGAGGAGGAAGCATGCCAGAACACTAGTTCTTAAAGTCCTTTTAAGGACCTGTTGGGAAGCAACTGGAAACTGTTTGGTAGGCCTGAAGCGACTGGCTACTGCTCCTGATGGTGGACCAATCACAGCTGGTCTTTGAGCAGAGGCAGTGACACAGCCCTCCTGTGCTGCTTCCCCTCTGCTCTGCCGCCAGGTGGAATTGCAAAGCAGCCTTGACCCTCATCCATTCGTTGCTAAAGCAGCACTTCATAACATGGCATGGAAAAGTCTGGGAGAAGGGCCATAGCGCAAATGGCAGAACACCTGATTTGCATGCAGAAGGTTCCAGGTTCAACCCCCACAGGTAGGCTGGGAGAGACCCCTGCCTGAAACCCTGAAGAGCAGCTGCCAGTCAGTGTAGACAATACTGAGCTAGGTGGGCCAACGATCTGATTTGGTATAGGTGAGTTTTTACCACCATTGCGTGGCTGGTCCCTTGATAGGGTGATAGTCTTCACCAGCTGCAGCCAACCCATGCTTGCCTGTCTTCTTACACCCGGTCCATGGGGTGACATTCCCTCTCATCTTCTTATTCCTGGAAGTATTGCCCTTGTAGAACTCAGCAGGAAGGAGGATGGGGACAAAACCAGGGTGAGCTGCCTGTCATTGGCTCTGGCGCCACCTACTGTTTGTCTCCCTGTCTTCCTCCCTACCAGACACCACTGCTTCCCAAGCTCCCCAACGCCACCAAATCTCCCCCTGCCCAATTTATGCATCATCGGGGCGCCTGCTTCGTGCCCCGAGCCAGCACAGTATACAGAGGGGAAGAGGGAGGAAGAGAAAGAAGAGCAAAACCAGTACAGGAGAGCGGTGGTCTACTGCGCCTCCTCCTTTAGTGCTGGTGTTGGACTCTGTCACCGACCACGATGCATCCATTGGTGGAGAAGTAAACGTAATACCAGACCTTAGCGGCTGGTATGGGCGTGGACCGGAGGAAGGGCTTGGCTTGAAGTTGTCAGGCTGTGATGGGACAAGGTGCCCCAGGTCTTGGCTGTTTTGAATTACAGCTGTCCTCATTTTATTTCCATCTGCTTCATCTTGTCCTCTCATCCCACGCATCGTGGTTCCCTCTAGGATGCTGTAGCTTGCTGAGCCGGTAGCAGGAGTGCAGCAGATTGTAGAAGTTCCTCCCAACCTCTTAATCCAAAAAGGAGCCTCTTCTGTGTTCTGCCTAATTCTGGCCAGAAGACTCACTTGGAGGTCCTTCTGGGTTTCTGTTTTGGGCGTCTCTCTATAGCGCCACTTGCTATAGGCTTTCAGACTGGGTGGTGTAGCTGTAGTTGCAGCCTGGTCTGTGGCCTTGATGATGCTGTCCTGGGCAGCCATTGATGCTGTGTCTTCTTCAGGAACATCCAGGAGCTTGGGTGTCCCCAAAAAGGTGCGATGGCTGCCTTTCGAGTATTGCAACTGGGCTGTTGTGTGACCTGCCAGAGGAGTCATGGGAGAGGATGTAGCTGGAAAGAGAAATCAGACTTTGGTCACCTCAGTGTCTTGTGCTTTTGAACTATAGACCTATTGTATGGAAGTTGGCAGCAGGACAGTGAAAATGGATTCTGTGTGCCCTAATGGTGGCCGAGAGACTGATACGGGTAAATTGGAAGAATGGAGATACAGTGGTGCCTCGCAAGACAAAATTAATTCGTTCTGCGAGTTTTTTCGCCTTGCGATTTTTCGCCTTGCGAAGCACGGTTTTAACAGTATTAACGGTTTTAAGAAAAAGGAAACAAACTCGCAAGACGTTTTCGTCTTGCGAAGCAAGCCCATAGGGAAATTCGTCTTGCGAAGCAACTCAAAAAACGAAAAACTCTTTCGTCTTGTGAGTTTTTCGTCTTGCGAGGCATTCGTCTTGCGAGGTACCACTGTACATTTCCCCTTAATCAATGGCTTGACAACATTTGTAACATAGGAACAGACAGCTTTCAGACGCAGGCTTTCCATGGATAAATACAGTGAGTGAGTTTACAGTGGTGAGTGAGAAGTCATTTAATTAAAATTGTATTAATTTGGTATCAATGTGTAATCATTAGTGAAAATTGGGTTGTACTTTGGAAAATCAATAAAAATAATTGACAAAAAATGGAATGAGTTTACACAGAATATACTAGGTTATTGACAATTATGTGTGGGGTTTTTTTTTGGGGGGGGGGGTTTATTCTTATTTGGATTTTATATATTGTGATCTTTTTTGTGAACCGCCCTGACACCTCCAGGTATAGGGTGGTATATAAATTCATTCATTCATTCATTCATTCAATAAATACTGGTACAATAAGAATACAGTGGTACCTCGGGTTAAAAACTTAATTCGTTTTGGAGGTGCGTTTTTAACCTGAAACTGTTCTTAACCTGAAGCACCACTTTAGCTACTTTATGGGGCTCCCCGTTGCTGCTGCGCCGCTGGAGCACGATTTCAGTTCTCATCCTGAAGCAAAGTTCTTAACCCGAGGTACTATTTCTGGGTCTGTAACCTGAAGCGTCTAACCTGAAGCATCTGTAACCCGAGGTACCCCTGTATGCACAACTGTATATCAATGTATGATAATGCAACAGTATTTTTTTCATTTTCACTCACTTTTTTCTTTCTTTTTTCTCATTCTATGTCTTTTTATAAATGAATTATTATTATTATTATTCCTCCAAGGAGCTCAAGGTGCTCTGAGTGCTCTGATGGTGTTTCCTGCTTGGCAAGGGGTTGGACTCGATGGCCCTTGTGGTCTCTTCCAACTCTATGATTCTATGATTCAAGGTGACATACATAGCTCTCTCCATATTATCTTCACAACAACCCTGTGTGGTAGGTCAGGGTGAGAGGTGGTGACCGGCCCAAGGTCAGGGAGCGTCATTGCTGAGTAGGGATTTGAACCCAGCTTTCCCAGTTCCTGGTCCAACACTTTAACCATTGCACCTCTGCTAACTGAAAATCCTGGGGATTGCACCCGTGACATTCTGCCACTGAGCTATAGCAGTCCTTCCCTAGGAAGAGAGATTGGTGGTTAAACAACTCTCTTTTGTTGTTGTTAAAGATTAAAATCAATGGGAGGTTTTATTCCATCGTGAATAGCAGGCATAGTTGGAGTGGGAAGAATTTCAGCCGGGGTCACAGCAGGAGCTAAAGGGTTAAGGCCAACTTTCCTGCCAGGCCACAGTCTCGGTCTGACTCTGGGGTCCATTGCACTGGCTGCTTAATGAAAAATCAGTGACAGAACCCTAAACCAGGTGTGTTTAGTTGGGCCTTAGGGGGAGCCGGCCTTCCCCACCAGCTGCCACTCCTCCCAGGTGTATCCGTGATGCAATAATTTTGTGCGAGTCGTGACCTCGATTGTGCAAACTGGGCCTGGTTGGCAGAGCTGTCCTGGCTGAATAGGGAAGGGTGAAATCTATGCTTGGAATGTCATCGTAGGGCTGGATGCCTCAGTGCTGAGACGCACAGGTGGTTTCCCCAGGGCATATCCAGGCCTTGTGAAACAAATCACATTCCGGAGGGAGCAGGCAGGACCTAGAACGAGGAAGAAGGAACAATAATATGGGGGACTTCGGTTATTGATGAGGGAGAAGTTACAGACTTCCCTCATGCTCAACCTGTAGATAAGTTAACAACTTTTTTGCTATTCCTGAAATGGAAACTGATGGATCAGTGCTCTTTCTGGTCTGGTTTGAGTTCTTGTGCATGTTCCCTAAATACATTTTTTTAAAAAAGCAAGCGCAACTCAGACAAAAGCGTTAGCAGCATCTGTAGCTCGGTAGGTCCTAGGTTCAATCTGAAGGCAGCCCTTTTGGGGGAAGTTTTTAATATTTGATGTTTTATCGCTTTTTAAAAATTATTAGTATTAATATTCTGTTGGGAGCTGCTCAGAGTGGCTGGGGAAACCCAGCCAGATGGGCGGGGTATAAATATTACTATTATTATTATTATTATTATTATTATTATTATTATTATTATTATTATTTATCAGTCCCCAGCATCTCCAGGCAGAGCTGAAGGAAGCTCCTGCAGCCAATTGGAAGCCACGCCGGACATTCGGGTTCCAAAGAACGTTTGCAAACCGGAACACTCACTTCCGGGTTTGCGGCGTTCAGGAACCAAAACGTTCGAGTTGCAGGGTGTTTGGGATCCAAGGTACGACTGTGTTTGAAATCCTGGAGAGCTGCAGCCAGACATTATAGACAGTGCTGAGATAGATGGACCAATGGTTTGAGTTGGTATGAGGCATATTCCTATGGCCTGGGAACATTCTTCTTTTTCACTGCGGAGACACTTGTGCAAGGGCACACATTTCATATTTCATCTTGCGGGTGCAGCCATTGCAAAGAAGATGCAGAGCAGCCTCGGCTCAAACCAAGCCCTGAGTTGTGAACCTTTTGGGAAGGAAATGTACAGCAATCCATTGAATGTGAACACGTTTATAAGTACCATAGACTTACGTCTTGCGTTCTGAGCACCAGCTGCACCCAGGAGAACCAAGGAAAAGCAGAGGATGATCGGAGACAGCATTGCAGGTTGTTTTTTTGAAATCTCGGTGTGCAAAGCCCCACTCAAAGCTTGACGCCTCAGACTACAAGAAGGGATGACCTGAGGGTGGAAGCAGAGCTGCACTGTAGCGATGATGGAGAAGGGATAGAGAACTACCTGAGGACTTGGTGACACTGGGCTGCATCAGCCTTCTGCCCACTAGTGCAAGATCCGTT